CACAAAATTCTATTTAGTTTCTATTTCATAACCATAATTTTCCTGCTGTTATGAATCTTAATATAAATGTCGGCTATGCAGGATATCTGACATGCAGCTGCTGTGAAAGCCATTTGATCCCCAAGGGGTCACAACCCACAGGTTGAGAACAGCTGGTTTATGGTGCTGTTTCTTCCATGGATATTTCTTTCATTTTGCTCTCATGGATATTATGAAGTTCACCCTTGTTTACAGGATTTCAATCTTTTATTTTTTGGGTCCTGGGTATGGATCCATGATCTCACGTTGCTAAATTAGCACTCTTCTCCTCTATCCTCCCCTCCCCCCAGCTACTACTACAAGCCCTTGCTGTACTTTTCAAGATTTGGTCTTCCAGCCGCTGGAACAGCCTAGGGCCTGGGAACATATCCAGTCTGTGTTTTGAGGGCCCTGCGGATGAGCTCTGAGCCCCACTCTCGGTGCTATGATCCAGCTCTACCTGATACTTGAGGCCTGATTTGGTGTGTCAAGGGGTAAATCCGGATGGGAGTGGTAGGGTGGCAGTGCCACATGTGATTTTACTTTCCTAAGGAAGCCCACCAGCAGCATGGCCAGGACACGGCCACCATCCTGTCTGCAGGCTGCAGAGGGCGCTGAGTCGGACAAGGAATGAAGTCCTTCCTGTGATGGGGCTGTTCAGTGCAAAGCATTACTTCTGGGTTCTGTGACGTCTCCCTGGCTACTCTCTGATGGGGTGGCAGTGGAGTGTGTGTGTGTAAACTGGAGTGATACAGTTTGTGCCAGGAGATGAGGATGGCTGGGGTGGTCCTCCTCACCTACCAACTTCTCAAAGCTAGTAAGACCTCTCCACATTAAGGGATAAGGATGAACGGTGTTGGAGCCTAGGTGCTTGCTGTCATTTGAAGGTGGTGATGTGGGTTCCCACTATAACAGGGCAGATAAATCATCAGAACTCTAAGCCAGCATCCTGTGTGAAAAGGAGTTTAGTTTCCATGGACTGTTGTTCTATGGGCCCATAGAACACTTGTCCAATACTTCTGCTTACAGGGTAGCCATGAAGACAAAGACCAGAGGGTTCAAGATAAGTGTTTCTGAAACAATACCAGAAGGAACACATGGGACAGTGTGAAAGTCACAGCATGGTACTTGTTACTCCTTTGCTGTTGGAGCTTGCAAACACAAAGCAGTCTGTCCACAGAACCATCTGTATTGGGGCTAGGTCCAGGCTGGGTGCTGTGGTCATCAGCCCAGCCCAGTTTCGTTCACAGAGGAGTCAGACTTGGTAATGTCCCAGTGGTCCTCCTGTGTCTGCTGTGCTCCAGACTGCTAAGTGGAGAAGCTTCAGGACTCTTGTCACAGCAGCCAGTTCATTGATTTTGGGGTGATTTGGGAGGACAGCAGGCTGGAAGGAGTGCTTGGATAAATGGATAAATACATGGCAAACGAGCCCTCCTAGGAAGTGCATAGTGAGAAAGCCGGAGCAGAGTAATAACCTACATCTGGTTATTTCCCACCTCTGTTTCCATCCCCGGCACGTCAGTGTGAGGGACCCCGTGGCCCATGCTCTCCAGGGCTGGGCTAGGGGATTTCCTAGTGGGGGTTTTCAAGGAAGCCCTGAGAGCTAAGGGCACTCTGCACAGGAAGGTGACAACCACAAGAGGGGTTGTGGGCATTTGCCGTCCACCACTGGGCCCTCAAGCACAGACCACATATGCCTGAATCCTGAGCTACTGGTTTGGTAACTTCCTCTATTGAGAACAAGGCTCGGGTTCTGGAGGATGGTGAGGCACAGTGTGTAGTGTTTTTGCTCGGCTTTCTGCAAGTTTTCTAAAACTTAGTTCTTTTTAAAATTATTACACATTTATTTTAGTGTGTGTGTGTGTGTGTCTGTGTGTGTGTGTGTGTGTCTGTGTGTCTGTGTGTACGCATGCACCAGTGTGCGAGTGGAGATCAGAGGACAACTTGAGATTTGGTTGTCTTCTTCCATCACGAGGGTCCTGGAGATAAGACCCCGGTTACCAGGCTTGACTTGGTGGTTTACCCTCCGAGCCATCTTGCCCTTTGCCAGTCCTGAGACAACAAAAGCCAGTGTTCTCTGCGTGGTTAGTTGTTTCACTCCACAACATTAAACAGAGCTCTTTGAAGGTATGCTGTGTATTCCCAGCCTGGGGGAGGTAGGGGTTTGGAGTGCAGAGAGCCTACTGGGAAAAGGAAGTGGGCCATCCTCTCAAGTGACTGGCTTCTCGCTATAGATGTCCTAGCGAAGGAAGCCAGAAGCGGGAACTTGCCCAACCGGAGTGGTGAGCTTGTAAGACAGCTCCACTGAGGACCATTGCCTGTAAAAGTCTGTCGGGGAAACTTTACTTATTTCTGTTGGGGTTGAACCTTGTTGGGTGTGTCTAGGTGGAGCCTGCAGATCCAGCAGGACTGTTGGTAAGGGTGTTCCTGAAGCAGAATGTGGGGAACATCCTGTCTCCTCTTGTGACTGGATGTGAGCCTGGTAAGACCCGGCTCTGGGCGGACCCGAAAACACCCATCCTGGTATTGAGGTAAGTGAGAAGAGCAAGAGGCTGCTATCCTGAGGCTTGGCATCCCCCTCCCCCCAAAGTTTTGTGGTGGGTATCATACACATAAGAAAGTGGTTTCCTTCATGAGTTACACGCGATCAACATGCTCGCCCTCCCTTTCTCCTTCTACCATTCTTCCCTCTCCTTTTATCAAATATGGGGTGTTGCTCAAACTGTAGTCTAGACTGGCCTCCAGTGCACTGTCATTCTACCTCAGCTTCCCCTGTTGTGATTACAGGCGAGACATGTCTGTCTCGTGTCCATCATATATTTATTTGTTGGTTTATTATGGTTTTTCGAGACAGGCTTTCTTTGGGTAGCCTAGGCTGTCCTGCAACCAGCTCTGTAGACCAGGCTGACTGGCCTTGAACTCACAGATCCACCTGTCTCTGCCTCCCAAGCCTTGGGATTAAAGGTGTGCTCCACCACCCCCTGGCTCTTACTTAGTTTCTAAACATTCCATGGAATGATTTCACAGGTGTTCTCTGCTCTGGAGAGGACAGTCTGGCCTGGTGTCTCTGGTCTTCCCATGTGTTTCTCTGGGCACCAAGGACTGTGTTGAATGCTCAATCTCTCTGTAGTATTGGGGTGACTGGCTAGCTGTGGGGCACTCCAGGGATAATTGGCAATACCTCCAAGGGACCAGTAAGTGTTCACATTATTCTCCTACATGCCATCATTTATGTCAGTCAGATTCTGACCCTTGTCACCACTTACCTGCCACATTAGGGCTGAGTAGTCAGGAAATGTGTTCTGGGTTGGGTGTTTCAGAAACCCCATGGGGTGGTGATAGCCTCTGTTGCTCCCCACAGTATGCCCTTCCCTCAGCAGTCTTGGGAAACAGTGCCTTAACATGGCGTGCATGGTGATTTTCTTTTCTGATGGTCCCAGATCTCAGGCTGTGGTCTCATTCAGAGATGTTTCTTGTCTACAGATGAGTCTGTGGACTCACAAGCTTGTCCATACCACATCTTGTCCTCAGTTCAGTGCAAGAAGTGCGTGACTTAGCAAGATCCCCAGGCTCTAGGCCATCCCCAGGACATAGAGGATAGGTGTGAACAATGCGGTCGAGATTGGTACCTCTGGACAGGCTATTGCTGCTGGATTCCCTTTGTGCATGGTTGGCTAAATGGAAGCAAAATGGTTGGGGAAGACTTCTTCACTGGATGCCTGTAAACAACCTTGACAAAGCTTGCAAGCTCAGTGCTCTGGACTTCTTTTTCCCCCTTCTGTTTTGAGACAGGATTTCTCTGTGTAATAGGCCTGGCTGTCCTGGAGCTTGCTTTGTAGATCCTAGGATTAAAGGTGTGTGCTACCACCACCACCATTGGGTTTGGGGGTTTAATGAACCTTGTAACTGTAGTCCCAGGGTTGATACTTGACCCCATTTTTAAGATTCTGTAGAAATGTGTTTCATCCTGTGTAGGGCTGCTGTCTCCACACAGTGGGAAGATGGGTAGGTTCTCTGTTATCTATCAGGCATGGCTTCTCCTGGGTTCATGGGAGGTGTCCAAATGAGAACTGGGGTACATTACTTTACATACTTCCTTGAGCAAGTGCCTCCCAGTGCCAAAAGGAGCAGCTACCTGTAGGGTGTCAGTGCCTGTCGTGGTTTGCTACCAAAGGATGGAGACACTACTGCAGGTCTCTTGCTGAGTTGACACACAGACTCTGAGAGTTGGTAGCAGGGCAGGTGCTCATAGGTGAGCAAAGGTTCACCCTCCTGTCAGCTGAGTGTCAGAGAGCCATTCGCTGCCCTCAGCTTTAGGGTTGGTACAAATTGTAACAATTCAAAGTTCTAGGGAATCAAAGTCAGTCCTTTAATTGTTGCTTTCTTGTTTTATTTTCAGTATCCATTTAGCGTGTAAAACCTTCAGAACCCTTTTCTGTTTCTCCAGAGACAGCTTTCTGAATGATGATGGGAGAGTGTTGAGAGGGTGTATTGAGCCGTGCTGGTAGCTCTCTGGGAGATTGCCTGGGGCCTGGCTCTACCCTGCAGACATGGTGGGCAGAGAGAGTGTCAGCATTCTGACTTCTGCAGTCCTCCTAAGCCACTTGATGCTTGTGCAGAGGTGATATGTCCTATGGACATGCCTGGGCTGAATCTGGTGCCTTTCTGCAGGGCTGCATTATCCCGTTGGCAAGAACCATCTTAAGCAGTATCTGCCAGGTCTTGTGCCTTGATTGTACACTCAGAATCTAGATGATGGCATTGCAGCAGAGACAAGACAGTTGGTTTCTTTGGGGTTTCCATCTGGGAAGAGAATGTTCTGGCCCAGCAGTGCAGAGGCGAGCACGGACAGTTTCTGTTCTTAGAGAAATACAGTGACGCTCGAGATTGGAGCCCTCTCTGGGGGAAGAAGGTGGGTGAAGCCTTTTGCTCCCAAGGGAGGGTTGCAGCTCACAGCTCTCCCTGGTGTGCTGTGCTTTCAGGTGTGGCCGACGAGAACGCCTTTGCAGAAGAATGCCAGCGGAGAGGCCAGCAAATACCAGCTCTGGCCCCTGGCCCGGCCCCAGCAACAGTACGGGCCCCCTCCCCGACCCGGCCCCCGGCCCCAGCTCCAGCCCCGACTCCGGCCCCTTCTATCAGCACCCGCACACAGAAGCCACCCAGGCCTGCCCCGACGGCCAAACTTGTGTCTAGAAGCAACTGGGAAGATGAAGAGCAGGACAGGCAGCAGGTTCCTGGCAACTGGGATGCCCCCATGACCTCAGCAGGTGTGCAGAAGGGAGCTGGTGTGGAGCACCCCCAAAGTGGTTTGCCCCCAGACCCAGGACAGCGAAAACAGCAATCAGGCCTATGTTGCTGCATTCTGACCTGAGCAGGCTTGGGGAGCTGGGGGAAGGTGCCAGGCCTGCTGAGCAGGGGTAGAGGAGATCCCTGCACCCAGTTCACCTCCCACAGCTGCTCTATGGACAGCCTAGCTGCGTGGTTCAAAGCCAACCCCATGATTAAAACGGGGGTCCCAGTATTCTGATGTGTATGGAGTATGTTGTCTGGGTTTAGTTGATGCTGAGGAAATGCTTGATGCTGCTTCTATCCCCAGTGGCTCCTTTTTATAATTTTGATACTAGATCTTGAGATTTGTCACTTAACCTGATTTGCCCAAGGCCACTTGCATACTTATGTTAGCTTTACTTTGCAGAAAGAAAGATACAGCCAGTAGGTTCCCAGTAGAGTGCTCTCAGGTGAGCCACTGGTGAAGGTGGAGGCCTGGCTCCTCCCTCAGTGCTCATGACGGGATTGTCCACTGCCACTGCCCAGCTCTACCCTCAGCCAGCAGCTTGTATATCTTCAGGAGCATTTCCTGTAGAACATTCTGGATGGTCAGCATGTACACAAAGAGCTTTCCCAGTCAGGCCCAAGCCCCCTATCAGTGTAGTTTTATGGCCCAGAAGTGAGACAAGTTTGTGCCTATGGCTGCACAAACTCAGCAGGCCAGACTGCAGAGATTTGGCTTGATTGTCCATATCTGATTGTGTTGCAAAGTGCTCCAAGTAGGAAGCAGGGAATGGTCAAGTCTTTTGCTTCCCAGAACTTTGTATTAAAGTCAAGCCCCCAAATCCCTTTAGGTTCTCCTCAGAGGAGAATGAAGCAGAGAGCCCTCTAGGGTTTTACAAGCAAAAGAAAACATACTATGTACAGTCCCCAATGGGTAAGGCATTGCTGGAACTGGGCAGCAAGCATATAGTTACCCTGCTGTGGGGAGATGCCAGCGAAAACAGATGGGTGACTGGGACATGAGCTTTGTGCAACTGAGTGACAGATGGGCAGGGTTGCCTGACTGCATAGGACGCTTTCGTGTGCCTCAGTGGCTATGGACACCTCCCAATGTCCACTCCCAGAGCTCCCAGGAGAACTGGGAAGGGCGGTGGGAGGTCAAAGCAGCAGACTTGTAGATTCTACCCCCCCCCCCATCCCCTTCATGTTCATTTGTGAAGGCATCATAACGCTGACCCGTGAGTCAATCTGGTTTCTAGAAGGTGCGTAGGGACAGGCCTGCCTGCAGAACTTGTTCACAGGTGCGCAGGCCTCCCACCACAGGATCTGGACAGGAAGTGTGACTGCAGCAGATGGCCATTCTCTTGGCCCTGGACCATGCCTGTTAAGCAAAAAGTGATCAGCCAAGGCCAGAGAATCTGGAGACAGTAGAGTAGTTGAGTAGTAGGAATAGCAAATCACTCTCCCCTTGTTGCTTGGTCAGTACTGATCCAGACCTTTTCTGTGTGTGTGTGTGCGAACTAGTGAGACTAGTAGAAATTCTTGGCCTAAGAGTCTGGAAAAGCTGTGAATGAGGTGATCGTCCTGTACATCCCCGAGTCTGGAGTCAGAAGCATATGGCTCTGGGTGTAGCCCTGTCCCTTTGGGAACCATGATTTCATATAGAAAAGTGTGAGCAGTCCTGCACTTACCTTCTATAGAAAAGCATGTGAGCAACCCTTCACTTAATTTCTATAGAAAAGTGTGAGCAGCCCTTCACGTACCTTCTGTAGTGAGCAACCCTGCACTTACCTTCTATAGAAAAGTGTGAGCAGCCCTTCACTTACCTTCTATAGAAAAGCATGCAAGCAGCCCTTCTCTTGCCTTCTATAGAAAAGGGTGTGATCAGCCCTTCTCTTGCCTTCTATAGAAAAGCGTGAGCAGCCCTTCACTTACCTTCTCACTCAGAAATGATGACTCATTTTGAAGTGGGGTTCTCCAAATTGCCACCTGAGCTACATGAGAACTTGGGTTATCAACAAAGTGAAAACAAACCGTCGTGAAGGACTTTAGAAACTTAGCTACGGTTCAAAAGTGGTTTCTGGTTTCCACAGCGACAAAGCCGTAGCCTCTGGGCAGCATAGCTTGCTCTGTACTGCAAGCCACTGTCCTCCAGGCAACACAGAAAGCTTTGCAAAGTCTGGTGCTCTGCTTTTGGGATCAGGAGGATTAAGACCAGACCTTTCCCCTTAAAATTCTGAGAGCTATGTTGAAGAACTAAGATGATCTGGGCCAGGCTTCCTGCCTGTGTAGCCTTCAGTGGTTTTGCTGTTACTGTTAGTTTTATAAGTCTTGGGCAAGTTTGAAACTTTGTGCAGAATTTCCCAGCGGCAGCTTCCATTGGCTGTTGGCCAGAGATCTGTCAGGTACAGTCTAGATGAGCCAGGCCGGTTGGCATCAGGATGGGGAGTTTCTTCGATGAAAGTGATTTTCACTGAGGTGTCAGTCCCCCAGGAGTTTCATGGCTTGAACATTGTGTGTGTGTATGTGTGTGAGAAACTGGATTGTCCATGTGCTGGGTAAGCTCCGTATCCCTGAGCCTTGGATTTAGTATGTGTTATGTTGACTTTTTCTTTTTTCTTCTTTTTGGGCTATTCTGTGACCTTTAAAATTTGTGCTGCTGCACTTCTTGGAGAAGGGATTAGTGGCATTTTTCATTTGTGTGTTTTGTACACAGCATTGGTCTGTGAACTGTGAAGAACACATGGCCATTAAAAATGGAAATTATCCAACATGAGGAAAATCATGAAGGAAGGAGTAGACTTATCCTTCCTTCTTGCTGAACTTGACCCTGCCCTGTGTACTGCTGTGGAGCATAGACCTCTTCACAGGGCACGACTTGTAATTCAGAGAGCTGGGCCTTGCATCTAACTCTGCTGCTGGCCTGCATCTTTGCGCCACCACCTGCCAAACTAATTCATGTGCTAAGATTTTGGTGGATCTCACTGTGGGAATTTTGAGGTGTCATTGGGCCTGTTTTAGAAGTTGGGGATCTGAGATCTCTTGTGGCCCTTCTTCAACATGAGGCCCACATCCTACCTGCTTCATTGTGGCCAGGGTCTAAGAGCTTCTGCAGGACTGAAAGCAGAGCCCTTCATTGCTGGCTCATTGGAAACATCCAGAGACTGAGCCTCCATCCATCTACTGTGGGCTTGGTTGGTAAGGTTGTACTTACTAGCTTTAATGACAGGAAAAATGACAGTGGTTTTGTTTTCAAGGAAGAAAAATGGTCTGCCAGGGAGAGTGGACTGTCCATTGCAGAAGGGAACTGTGGAAGGTCTCTGATGGACCCGGGAGAGTAGGTGACAGGGCTGTGCATTCTGCAGGTAGGGCCTTGGCAGGGCCTCTGAGGATTCTGTTGCACAGAGCTGGTTCTGTGACTGGACTGCTGGGTAAATGCAGGATGCTTGCTGTGAGTAGCACTGTATGGTAGTCATGTTCTGTGAGTAATATGGAAGGTCTTCAGCCTGCTATTCCATACAGTTGGTATTTTCATGTGGACAGCATGAGTGACTGTTCTGTTGTCTCTGTCCATGGGGAAGTGTCTAGTGAGTGACGTGCCTCATGGGGAAGCAGTTGTTGGTGTGCTGTGTTTCACAAGCCATGTTTCCTTAGGGCTCAAGGAAGGTGGCAAGAGGAAGAAGCAGAAGCAGAAAGAGGACTCGAAGAAGAAGAAGTCGACCAAAGGGAACCACTAGGCTGAACTTGGCGGTGGCAGCCGCTGCAGCCGCTCTCGTGTGTGGTCCACACGTGCACGGCAGCGGCATCCTTTCGGTGCTGCTTCGCTTAGCAGGATTATGGACATATGCCCACGGATCGGTAGGATCAGGGGTGTTGGAGATGGAGGTGACAATCTCGGGGCCTGTATAGTGTAAGCTTGTGACACATCCTCAGCCTTGTTAACTCTGCTTTTCCCCAGCACTAAATTCGTAGCATTTTCCTCTTGAGTTGTAAGGATCTGCCTCATTCTTTTCAGCAGTCCGAGCTCTGCTCCGCGCACTGAGGTGTTTGTAGCTGTAGGAGTCCAGTAGGGCCCAGTAGGGAGCTGGGTATGTGTTCATGATTATCTCCTGGCAGCCGTACAGTGGGCAGTCTTAGTACAGCGGAACTTAACAGGTAATGTAAGCTTCGCCTTGAGCCATGGGTGTTAGGGTGCTTTTGATTCAGTACTCTGGCAACATAGGCCGTCATGAGCCACTTCAGATATAGTCTTTCCTTGTACTTATTGTTCAACTTTTAATCTTCTCCAGGTAGTCAAAAACTGACACCAAATGTAGTTTAGATTTGGGGAAATCTCATCTTTTCTTCTTGGATAAATATTTGCCCTGCAGTCAACAGGTTTTGCCTAGCAATACCATTTCTAGCTTTCGTAGGTCAGTGCTACTGGCTGTTTACACACTCACACAGGTGCATGCAGAAAAATCAGCTACCGAGCAAGAAGCTTGACCTCAGTTCTTCAGATTGCAAACACTACCCTTTCACATCGTCCTGTCACAGATTCATGCCATGCTGTCACCTAACCTGCCGTTTGCACTGTGAGCAACAGGTAGTTCCGATACCGTCCCATTTCTGGACTACACGTGCCTCTCGACCATGAGGATCTGTTGCTTGGACTTTGTCTCCTTGGAAGAGAGGGCATCATAAAAAGTGTTGGTGGACTTGAGGTGCCAGCAGTTGGGTCCAGCAGTGTGGAAAGGGGGAGTTTTGTGAGTCACAGGCACTGCTATAGCGAGGAGCCTGGGACAGAGTCACCTGAGGTTTGAGGGGATGGCCACGAAGCGTTTGCTGTGTTTGCTTGGTTTTGGTGGGAGGTGGTGTGGGCAATTATCATGGAGTGTGAATTGGTATTAATGTGTGTTGTGGAAATGTCACCCACAAGGCATAATGTATTTTAGTGCTACCAACGTAAATAAAATGTAAACGTCACTGAGTTCAGCTCTTGTGTGGTCATTCCTTGCCTGCAAATTGAACTGTTACTATGAAGAATAAAAGTAGATCTTGCATGTTTTTTTTTATGCACAGTTTTATATATTGTTACTTTGTGTGTGTGTGCAAGGGTGCGCTGTGGTGCATTTGCAGACAAAGTCAGGACAGCTGTGGGGGTTGGTCCCCTCTTTCCATGTGTGTCTGGGGCCCAATGTAGATGGTCAGACTTAATGGCAAATCCTTTTTTTTACCCGCTGTGCTATCTCACCAACTCTACATTTTTGATTATGAAAGATAAAGTGACATGTTTGGTGCAGAAGATGTGTTTGTATCGCATACAAAGGACAGTTGTGAGCATGGCCTTCTGGACATCAGCAGCCTGAGTGAGCATGCTGGAAGCCTGGAGGAGAGATCCCTTCTCATCCTGGCCCCATGACTCAAACAATGTATTGCTCAAGTCTCCAGTACTGAAGAGGAGGGTGCTAGGATGCATGTGTGAGAGACCACTTCAGGTAAGGCTCTTTGGCTGCTCAGCCCGCAGCTTACCTGTTGATGTCATGGTTGCTCCTTTAAGGCGAGCCACAGGCGTGTAGCCAGTAGGCACACAGTGTTCGTGTATGTGTCGAGTTTGCATGTGTTTAGGTAGCCTGGCTTTCCAGAGGAGCTCAAGTCCAAGGGCAGTGCTTCCCTATGCTGCTGCAGTGGGACAGCCAAAAGGGAGGAGCCAGCGCCTGTGCAGGGCCCACTGTGTGCCAGCATATGCTTAGGTGAGGAGACCCAGAGAAAGGCTAGGGCTGCTGGCCCATACCTGGGTTGGGGCACTGCGGAGTCAGCCCTAGGTGTTTAGAAGTTTGCAGTGTGCCGGTCAGTCCAGGCTGATCACTGCTTCTTGGTGTGCCAGTGCAGGATCCTTCTAGAGAGGTAGCAAGTGTGGCACACCATGCTGCTTGGCAAACGCCTGCGCATCTCAAGCAACACTGTGTGTACAGGCTTGTCTCTGGTCTTCTGGGCCTGCCTGGTACTGCTTGGTCCCTTCCACCCTTGGTGATGGGCTTCAGAGCCCGCCCACCCTCTGAGTGAGTATAGTCATTTTGAACACAGTGAAGGCCCAAGGTCTGAACCACAGTGTCTCACAACTGTAGTGCAGATAGAGAAGCCTGGGAAGTGATGCTGTTCTCTGGAAAGGCTCTCTAGTTTTTACCCAGTGTTTCAGCAACACTGCAGAGCAGGCTGAAGTCTGAGCTTGAGACCAACCTGGTCTACATGGATAGTTCCAGGCCAATCAAGGCTACTTAGTAGGACACACCCTTCCTGCCCCAGTCCCATTCCACCCCCCCACCCCGAAAGAAAAGTTGTAATATATGGCTTGAACAAGGTTTTACTTTTGCAGATCATTTGGGAGGGGACCAAGTTTATTCCATTGACTTCTATATTCAGTCCCTGCCTGCACCCCTTCTCAAGGTTCTTCACTGGTGTGTGTCCTACCTGCCAATGGAGGTCATTTGGTAGCCTCGGATCTAGGTCTGGAGCAGCTCTTCAGATTTCCCCATTCCGGTATTCTGCTCTAGAAATGATGCTGAGAATGTCCTGTGTGAGTGTGCTCATGGCTATTCCATCCAAAGGTGACACTGGGTCTGTGACTAATTGCCGCCCCTGATATGTCCCTGTCAACTGACTCACCCAGGATGGTGCCACCCTGTCTGAGAGTTAGCCCCAGGGTTGATCACTGTTGGTTATGTCAAATATATAGCAGGCTCCATGTGGACAAGCTATCTGCTTCCCCAGAGGCCCCAGATTGAGAGGCTTGAGGCTGTGGCAGTGTCCTCCCTATGCTGCCTTGGACAGTGTCTGTGGAGCTTTTCTCTAGGCAGGTGGGTGGCATCGCCTTCCTCAGGAGTGCCTGACATCTTTCATGCTGTCCATCTCAATGGAGAGTACTTCTCCATCACTGTGCTGCCTTCTAAACCCAGGGCTGACAATCAGTGGTGGTTAACTCCCAACTAACAAAGCAGTGGCCTACCAAGCTGAGCTGAGTACCCAGCACTCGGAAGGGCCACACCCTCCACTCACAGCACCCTAGCCACCCTTAAAGGTAAAGTAGAATCAGAACACTTCTCATCCATCAGTAGGGAATAGATGAGCGGGTGAACGAGGGGCTCTGCCTTTGGGGCGTCCTGACTGGACATTACTGAGGGCCAGTTATGGAGAAGCTGGGGGTTGGGGAGGTTCTAGTGCCCATGGCTTCTGTATCCAGGCGAACTGAAGTGCTTTGGAAAGGGCAGAAGGAGGGCGAGATGAAACTGCAGCTCCCAGTTAGTTGTGAGGGAAGGCTACTCCTCCAGGGAAGCCCTAGGGTCTGACTCTGCTGTGACCCCGTGATGGGTGGGGTCTGTTGGCTAGCTCTGCTGTGCAGTCTTGTCCATCTCACTCCATCTTTTGTAAGTTGATTAAGAACCAAACATCCCCTTCCTCGGCTTCTTTGTCACACAGCGGAGGGTTGTGATGGACACTCAGGTACAGGCTACACACGTGCAAACAATAGCCCACAGCCTCGAAGTGGACACTCAGGTACAGGCTACACACGTGCAAACAATAGCCCACAGCCTCGAAGTGGACACTCAGGTACAGGCTACACACATGCAAACAACAGCCCACAGCCTCAAAGTGGTTAAAGAGAGCTCAGAACCATCAAAAGTGGAGGCCCTTTATTACCTGTCTAAAATGTTGCCTTGTACCGCTTTTCCCTCTTTTAAAAAAACTTAGTCTTTATTTATTTTATTCATATTGCTGGGCATGGTGGTACATGCCTTTAATCCAGAGGCAGTGTTTCTTTCTTTCTTTCTTTCTTTCTTTCTTTCTTTCTTTCTTTCTTTCTTTCTTTCTTTCTTTCTTTTTTCTTTCTTCCTTCTTTCTCTCTCTCTCTCTCTCTCTCTCTCTCTCTCTCTCTCTCTCTCTCTCTCTTTTTCTTTCTTAAGATTTTTATGTATTATGTATACAATACAGTGTTCTGCCTCCATGTACGACTGCATGCCAGAAGTGGGCACCAAATCTCATTGTAGGTGGTTGTGAGCCACCATGTGGTTGCTGGGAATTGAACTCAGGACCCCTGGAAAAACAGCATCCTTGACCTCTGAGCCATCTCTCCAGCCCCCAGGGCAGAGTTTCTTTGTGTAGCCCTGACTGTTTGTTCTGGAACTCACTCTGTACACAAGGCTTGCTTTCAACTTGGAGACCTGCTTGCCTCTGCCTCCTGAGTGCTGAAGGTGTGCCCTACCACCGCCTGGCTAAAATAATTTACTTACTTACTTACACAGATACACACAATGTATATAATACATACATGTGTATATGTATGTATGTATGTATGTGTATATGTATATATGTATATATATATATAAATTTCAGAGATGGTTAAGAACAGAATGTTCTTCCAGAAGACTCAGATTCAGATTTAATTCTCAGCACTCAAGTGGCAGTTCACAGCTGTCTGAATTCCAGTGCCGAGGGACCCAATGTATTGTCTCCATTGGCACTTTGCCAGACATGCATGTAGGCAAACCACACACATAAAATATAAACAAATAAATGTTAAATAGGGCAGTCTTCCTAATCAAGTGTGCATAACACGACATGTCAATTTTAGTGTGTCGTCTGTAGCCATTCACTCCACCCTAATGCAGAATGGTCTCTTTCTTTTTAAATGTTATT